TGAATTCTATTTTGAAAAATAAATATGAAAAAAAAAGTCAAATTGGATGCACCCTGTTGAAAAGCAGGCCAATTCATTTAGTTTTCCTGCTCTTTGCAGATATTAAAACATATCTACAAAATTCTGATATACAGGGTATTCTTTTTTAAAAAGAAGAAGTCTGTTTTTCCTGAAGACGGATCTAGATTCTAAATTCGCTTCCTATTCAGTTTTGATGAGTAATATTAGTTGAATATACCCTCTAATATACCTATCGAGTATGAATCGATTATACACCATGGTTCAAAAGTTATGAGCTGACCAGATAAAGATTTTGCCAGAATCAAAATTACGTTCCGTATCACAGTTATAAAACATGGTAGTAGACACATCGATTGATGTACCCTGTTTAGCCAGAAAATATGTTTTCATGAGATAATATATCGTATAATCGTCTTATTTTCTTCTAAAAAATACCGTACTGAACGGAAAGTACGAAAATCAGAAGAATAGTTATTTACGAAACAAGTCCGGAAAATACTGTTTTTTGGACGAGTAGAAAAAATTCTAGGCCGAGCCTTAGGCGATTCTAAAAAAAACTGTCTTTGGACGTGCTGCGTACACTATTTTTTCGGCAACGATGTAGAATATCAATATCAATGAGACACATTTCCATATTAAATTTCTCTGTAGAGTCCGATTTTTTCTTTATCAATTCTTATTTGTATCAAATACTGAAATTTGAACAAAATACCTATCCTATACCTACTAACTGTTACATTGAAAATTTCACACCAAATATTTTCAATCAATTTAAAGCCTGTATTACGTATCGTTACCATATAGCAACAAAACAAATTTCTTGGAATTTTTTTCCTCCTCCTTGGGGGACGGAGCATGAAATTAAACTGGAAATTTTTCGCCGTTTATTATTTCGAGTTCATTCTATATAAGTCAATAAATAAAAATCTTCCGTCAACAGTTTACCATATAAATCGAGCATATATATAATATTATGTAGGAAATACTTGCAATATAATATTCCTGTGTGAAATTTTCTCACCGAATACATTTCAGCTTCAATTATTTCCCGAAATTTTTTCGAGAACACGCATATTTTGAAAATTCTCCCGAGTCGAAGACGTGATATTATAAGTGAAAATTTCGTATGGACATTTTAAACTCACTATCGCAGCTGCTTTCGATAGTTTATTGCGATAATTGCAAATAAACTTTTAAAAATCAAAATGTCAACTAATTTCATGTAAAATATACCTAGGTATATCAGCCGATATTTCGCTGCTATGGTAATAATATCTGCATTTATCAAAACCACTCATTTTAGAACCGATTTAAAAATTTGAAAAATAATCTGAAATGATTTTTTAGAATTTTTTTTTCCGTTGCATCAGAAAATACAGGGTGCTCGAAACAAACAATCTACAGAGTACTACTTGATTTTTCAAAATGGAACACCCTGTATTTCATTGTATTTTTAGATTCTTCCTGAAGAGCTGATTTCATCGGTGTATCCATTTGGGGTCTAGCGGGAATGATTACAGAAATATAGGGTGTTCAAAATCGAGATTTTTCAACTTAAAGATTTTTTTGTGTCGAAACTATTCATTATTAGTCAAAACGGCTTCTATGTCCCCATCTCAACTTTTGATTTACTATCTACTGACATTGAATTGGAACATTTACAGGGTGGTTCAAGATTCATAATTCTGATCACCCTGTATCTGTTCCAATCATTGAATGTCAGTAGATAGTGAATCAAACGTTAAGATACGGACATGAAAGCCGTTTTGGCCGATAATGAATAGTTTCGTCACAAAAAAGTTGAAAAATCTTGATTTTGAACACCCTATATCTCTGTAATCATTCTTGCTAGACCCCAAGTGTGATGCATTGATCAAATCAGCTCTTCAGGGAGAATCTGAAAATACAATGGAAAATAGGGTGTTATATTTTAAAAAATCAAATAGTACCCTGTAGATCATTTTTTGTTCCGAGTACCCTGTTTTTTTTTATGTAGCGGAAAAAAACTTTATCGAAAATCATTTGAGATGATATTTCAAATTTTGAAATCTGTACAAAAATAACTGAGCTAGAGGAGGGACATTTATGGTGAATCACCCTGTACGTACTTCCCGGACTAGGCCAAAAAAATGCTACTTTCTCAAAGAAAAAGCCGAAAAAGTATATCTTCATCGGAAAATATTCAACAAACGGTACCTTTGTGATTTTGAAAACATATAAGGTGATGAAGTTAAGAGTAAAGAAGTGAATATGAGGAAAACTTGGGAGAATTTCTCTCTACTCACCAGCGTCAAAAATGCGAAGCTTTAATAAATAATACGAAACACCAGAACAGAGCACACGATCGCGATAATTTAATCACTGAATTGAATGAGGAACACAAAAACACAATACTTGCGCACTCATTTTTAAGTGAACACTCCATTTTAAACGATAAATAATTCCTTTCGCGTATTTTTCAATTGCAATCACAAAATTTGACCATACGTGATGACATCTAATATAAGACTGTCTTGATTCACCACCTGGTCTCGAATGAATGACTAATAGGTTACATCATGCTGCTAGCCGATTAATTTTTGAACAAACGATTTATCTATGACTAATAATGACGATAATGAAATTATACGGGGGGAACAGATATATAGTATACAAAATATATATGGGATGAAGAATTGAACACAGATATACTGGCAGTATTATTTTCGAAAGTGAAACGATTTGAAAAAATTTAACACAGGCCGAAGATATAATTTTGCAAACAATCTCTGGTGATTTGAAAGAATTTAACAGAAACGATGTAGAGAAAAAATCGAGCAAATTTCACGAGTAGGATAAAAAGAACACAGAGACAGACAGGGTACGTGTTTCATCAGATTTGAATGTACCAGAATATCCCATGGACGTATAAACAATATCCCATTTTGGTTGAGACTGCCAGGCTTCTCGGTTGTTATTGAAGGTAGAACCTTGCTGTTTTCACGTTCCAGAATTTGCATAACTGTTTCCGTTCAAGAGATGCAGGACGATTTTGAAAATCTATAAATCTATATACTCTTTGATCATCTAATATATCTACCAAGTTATTATAGAAATTGAGTTGCGCTTAGAACTACGTCTAACAGAGAATTTTGAGCAGAATCCATAGGCGTACTCAAGTTATTTTTAGGGGTATGATTTTGGAGATACGACACGATTAGGATTTCTGAAAATTCTATTTGTGTTATGTATTATTTTAAAAGAAAGAAATAACGAATTTGGTGAGACGATAAAATACAGGGTGTTCCATTGAAGAATCCGATGAAAGTGATTTTGTTCTAAATTTGTTCTAAAATTTTTTCTATCCGTCATTCGGTTATTCCTCATATTCCGATATGAATTGTCCAAATGAGTAAATGTCTGAAAAAGCTTAGTTTCCATGATACAGGATGTTCAAGTTTCATCTTTATTTCCCTGTAGGTGGCGCTTACTACTTTAGTAAGAGCAATAATAACATATATCAGATTCGAATTCGACAAATCAGAAAACCTCTCAATACCAGTTTTTCGTTAAATCATGTTGATAATTTCGAAAGATATGTATGAAAAAAAACGAACATAAAGATGAAACTTCAACACTGTATCTTGGAAACAAAGCTTTTTCGGACATATACTATACAGTTTCCCACATTACCACGACGAAGTCGATATACTTCGCGCATTATTGTTGTGAACTAGAATGCGCTTTTTGTATTCAACCTCTTATATGGTCCTCAATCAAATGTTTAATAATAATTAAGGCCTTTTTAGCCAGATATTAACCCGTCGAGTTGAGGCTTCGCACCCCTTCGTGGTCACATTGACCTGCAGAACATCTCTTTCCAAAGAATCGTTCATCCAACAAACAGCAAGGCTCTGGAACACATTGCCAAGGGAGGTGTTCCCCGAGGCATATAACCTTCAGAAATTCAAGAAGAACACCAATTCCTACCTTATTTCCTTTGGTTCTCACGATGTTCTCTGAACATTACAGGATATCCCTTTTCGTGGGAACTAGAACATAAGAAAAAGAATAGTAAGAAGCTCAGCCATTGTCGTTCTAGATAACAACCTATAGTTATAGATAGTTTGTAGGTGGTTTGTAGGCAGGAGCTATAATAATTACCTCCTCGCACTATAAGGTCGCCTACTAGGTTTTCATTTAGAGCAAAGTAAGGCTGATGACTGAGATGTTTATGATTCCTCTGATGACATTGATTATCAGATTGGGAGATCGTGGATCAACAATGAAAGACATCAACAACCCCGGGCAGTGAGCACCGATACTTAATTACTGTATTAGTAGTCATATCGCAGCAAACCGAAAATGTAGGGTCAGTTGCTCGCCTGAAAAAGCTCTGCTCAATACGCAAGTACCCCCAAACCATCCCAAACATTACATACTCCCATTCCTCCCGAAAACCGAATCTATGCATGGGGCATGGATTCGTCTTGGATTCGTCGTACGAGGATTATTAGATGCGTTCTAGCTCTAGACTCAGGACCGTTGCTGTTCTTCAAGGTTGGTAGAGCTGATGTTTATCATACAAATTCAAATACAAATTATCTCTTGCTGCACTGCGCCATTTCTATTGAAATATACTGGAACAAAATCGATCATATATTATTATTATGTCATCAATGCTAGTAGATATATGAAAGAACTTGTAAACAACGTAACTACGTCATTTGTGTAAAAAAGTTTGTTTCTGACATTCCAATATTGACGTTTTCAATGTCAACCACAATGGTGTTCTACAAAGTCAAAAGTCAAAACAAAACTCAACCCAGCCGACCAGCCGTCTTCCGTCTTCTTTTTGATGCTTTGACTGCTCAAGTTTAATAACCTACATTTTTTGGAACATTACCTGTTAAATTTCAGGCAGGTAAAAAAGAAGTAATGTTCTATTTCTGATATTTTTCGTGATCCGTTATATACTTTATTTCTGAGTAAACAACACAATGTATTTCGACGATACCGGGGTGAGTTGGAAAAGAGGTGCAAATCAACTTTCACTAATCTGAAATTTTTGAATGAAAATTGCAGCTAGCTGTTGTGGCTCCCACAGAAAATCAGGGAATAGTTGGAATTGAAGATGATTATGTTCAAACACAGTGTATTCTGGCTGATGGAGGTGATAGATTTGGAGTTTCTGCTCTCACATTTGACAAACATGAAGAATTGCTGTGGATGGGAAATCAGGGAGTAAGATTGATATCATATGTGGTTTCAAATTATAACTGACATACAACTTCTACATTCTGCTAGTTATATCATGTTATATGACCAATACTCATTGATTTTGATGTTTCAAACATCTACAGTTCTGATTTCATATTGATAAAACATTCCATTAAATGATCATCTGAAAGTCTAGTAGAATGTCATACTCACATTTCTTGTATAATAGAGATATTGAATTTATGCTATTGACAGGGCCATGTAACATCTTATTTAGCTCCAACAATGTCAAAATATACATCATTCCAAATACATGCAACTGAAGATGTGAGACAAATTCTAACAATTGATGAGGGTATCTTGGTACTTACTGCTAGTGCTCTGCGATACCAAATCAGGAGAGGCATTCCAGTTTATACACACCTGTGAGTAGTAATTCATGAATTTGAAAATACTGTGTTTATCAATGTAGTTGAAATAGTATATAATATCATCAAATATGCCACTCTTTTGACAAAGTTTCTTATAGGAAAGCTCAAAACATATGGTTAAGATTGAAATAATTATAACATTTCACTTTTGATTGGTTCATAAATAGTCAACTCCCATGAAAAAGTATACTTTGAACCCATAATTTTGCTGTCCAGATTTCCATATTGATTATCAGTGTATGTATGTCATGGTTTTATCAAGGGTTTCATATTATTTATTTCCACAAGTGAGAATATTTCATATCAATAACAATATCCTATACATATTATGAAGGTACATGTTGATATCTTATATGTTTTCCTGAATGTTTTCATTATTTTAATTTTATTTACACATACAAATTTTTCATGTCAATAATAATATCTGATATATTATCTGTTTATATGTAAATGGTGATGTTTGGTATTTGTTGTGACATGCTGATAATGTATAGGTAATAGGTAGGCACTTTTGTTTATGTATGTTAGAATATTCTAGTGTAACAATTTTCATACAGATTTTCATATTCACATAACCAGGTATCTCCTGTTACTTTCAGATCTATGAATATGAATGAAATGCAATGCATGTTACAAATGTCATCAAGCAGATTCATCATTGGGGGTCATCAGGATAAACTCATTGATTTTAATTTAACAGCTTGCAAAGAGAGCATGGTGGTAAGTTCTGAGCAGTTGTGAATGAATTACAAAGTCTCACAAACAAAAATAGGTATATTCACATGTTTTGAATCAAATCTGACATCAATGTCAAGCATATTAAATGGCTTGGTTGCTTCTCAAATCAGTACTCAACCAGTAGCCAGAGCCAATGAGAATATTGGACAGAAACACAGAGTTACTAGCATAGAAAAGGTACTAACAGATGGTTATATAGACTTCTCTTGAATCTCTTGAGTATTTTGTTTGCTTTCCTGATGCTTATAATTTCAATAAGTTTATAAAAATGAAATATTGATTCAGTGTGCTTAGACTTTTCTCTGTACAAATAATATGTATAATAAATGCAGTCCCTCCCAGCTATAGTGAAAAAAATTAATCATTTCCAAATATAACTACAGTTACACATACCTTCCAATTGCAAACATCTGTCTATCAATTTTATGGAACAAAAATAGCATACACCTAATTTGAGGAGGGGAAGTAGCTTGGAGGGGTTGCAAGTCTTTTTCAACTCAAAAAATTTGCCCTTGAAATTTTTGAATTGAATTTTGAAACACCTCGTATTTTTGTCACTTTGTCCCTCATAAAGTACATAATAGATCGGTAGCCAACAAGATGTTTTTTGTGTCTCATTTGTTTACACAGCAGTACAAGAACACCCCAAATTCCACCTTTCACTACACGATTTATCAAATTATCATTTGTTAATGTTCAACATTTTATTTTTAGGTTGTGGAGTAGGTATGCGTTTATCATATCATGGTAACATCAATGTTCGGCATTGATTTTATATTGTTTTTGAATAAAATGGAAGTATAACAAATATAACATGCCGAATAAATCATTTGAATATTGACCTTCGTATTTTTAAAATCCAATTTTCGTTAACAATATCATTTGTTAATGTTCAACGATGATGTTTTATGATAATTAATAGTATACTAGTTGTCATTTTGTTATCCACGAATAAAATGATTGGACCTGTTATATGGAAACTGCCAGGGAAATTGCCAAGAAAAAAATCATAACAAATTTTCCAAACGAACGACAAATGGATTTTTTTCCACAACTAGTTATGAATCCTACCATTATTTACTCCTTTCGAGGCGTAAAGTTTATTTTTACTATCAAGGTAGCTTTCGTTATTTTATTACCCACTAGTCAATAAAGACCTATCCCTCTCTATTATAATGAACCCGAATTCACTGTTCTTATGCGAGATTCGCATTAATGGCACTCGAATTTATTAGGTATTCATCAATATAACGACTTACCAATCGTATTTCAACATGTGACAACTGTGCCTAAAATCGACTAGAAAAAATTTAAAAAAATATGGAATTACCTTATTTGACGGCGGATCTATAGTGCAGTTGTATTAAAAAAGAAGCGTACAAGTATTAAGGAGAGAAATTAACTTCGTTCCTACCATTTTTGCGTAAAACGGGGTATGGGGAATAATTGTTCACCAAATGTTGACAGTTCACATAGGTTGTCAAAAATTCGAAGGATTAGCTGAACCAGTTTTATACAACTAGAACTAGGATGACGTTAACCTCTCTTCTCAATACTTGTACGCTTTTTCATTGAATACAACTGTAGCTCAAAATTAGTTTAAAATATTTTTAGATAGATTTAGGTGAGGGTTGCGTCATGTTGAGGCCCCATAGTAGATTTGTCTGTGCTGGCAATCCATTAGGCCGAATCGATTTACGAGATCCTAACAGTCTCGACGTTGAGCACACCATTGAAACTCATACAGGAAGCTTGAGTGATTTTGATGTACAAGGGAATCTTTTGGTAACATGTGGATTCAGTAATAGGTGAGAGATTATATTTATCATTATATTGTTACGTTATTTGGGTGCAGAAGCGAACAGGACACTATTTATTTATTTATTGAACAAATAACTTCCAGACAGGTATAAGGAAGTACATAATTATATACCTATAGGTAAACATATCATTATACAAAATATATCAACAACTGTAAATTGACAAACAAAGAATAATATTTGTAAAAAAAAAAATGGCATGTTCAATTTTATCCAGTTCGCTCAGGAATAATCAATTTTTTCACTTCATTTTTGAATGAACCTATATTTCTGCAATTTTTTATATTGTCAGGTAGTTTATTGAATTCAGTTAAGGCTGAATGAGTGAATCTTTTTTGTCCGATAATGGAGCTAGCGGCGTCAAGATGAAACAAGTTATATTGTCTTGTTTCATGATTATGAATTTCAGAATTCCGTATCAACATAAAATTCGACTTCAATTTTTTATTTATGATATTATATGATATTTTGAGAGTTTCAATCCTATATATTTCATCTAAAGAATACGTATTTGTTATTTCAAACAATTGATTGGTTGGTGTATCAAATGGGAGACGATACAATACTTTCAACGATTTTCTATATAATGTTGATATTTTATTGAAATTGTTCTTTGAACAAAATCCCATTTTCGAACTGATTTATTTGAACTAAAGGAACACTAATTTATATGGAACTTATAACTAATATTTATGTAAAACGATTTATATCACGCGGTATATGACTGTCTCTCTGACACTCGCTGCTTGACTGACTGACGGCAGTTGTCCGGCAGTCCTTATATATATGAGATCCCTTGGCAAGCTTTCCTTCTCGAACGTTCTCGAATGATCTTCCGTACCCTTCTATTGTTCTAGAGGCTTCTTAGAACAAAACCTCTCTCTCTTATCGTTCCATCAATTGTTTCCAGAACATTTCAGAATCTTTTGTCACGTTATTTGTCAACGCGAAATATATTGAGTGTTCGGAAATCGGCTGGTACATGTAGGAATCATTGAGATGTTGAAGAACAATCTGGGATGCGTGTTACAGGACGATCGTCGTACTCCTGCCTTCCTGATAATGTTTCTAGAGCCCCTCTAAGGGGAATATCATTACACTGTCCCTTCCTTGAAACGCATTCCTCCTAGAATGCACTCTGAGCGTTATAAAGAAAGGGACACCTGGTTTCATTTCTACAACGTGCAGTATGGTAAAAATAGCATGGCACTGTCTTCTCTGAGCTGTATTTAATCATGAAACGAAAATAATTATGGAAGTTATTACCGGTGATGATGATAATGACGATAAAAAGAGAAACCATAGGAAGATTGTTTTATTCATACAGTAGGTTGTGGATACAATAATATTATGAATGAAAATACGATATTAGTCCATTATAATTATCTCAAAATTGTAGTGAAGTAGTGCATATGGCAAGAATACTGCAAATTTTCTCCACAACGTTTAATATTTAAACTTTGTGAGGGAGCATTTTTCGGACACAATAGTGTCCATAACCAGCCAATTGAAAATCATGTTGAGAAAATGACAAAAAATCGGTTCCACAGGAGAATTCAACTAATCATTATCCAAAACAATATGATCAACAAGAAATCAGGATTTTTAAAAAATTATGGACCCTTTTTTCCGAATTGGAAAATTGGAATCATTTCATTTTGATTTTTTTTTCAGACATAATTCATTGGCTGTTGATAGATATCTGATGGTTTATGATCTGAGAATGCTCAGGGCTGTATCACCAATGCAAACCGTAATTGATCCATTTTTCCTAAAATTCATACCATCAGCATCGTCTAGATTGGCAGTTGTATCGGCAATTGGACAAGTACAGCTGCTTGATACAATAACTCTGGCAGAGCCTCGAATAAGTCTTTTGCAGATGGAGAATCCAGGTAAACATACTATTTTCAATAGTACATTTGATAAACCTACAAACCTAGGATGTCTCTTAGTCATGACATTGTAGGTTTATCACCATCTGGTGACATGTTGTCTTTTCTGTAAGCATATAGACGTAGGGGTCTATTCGCGAGATTCACGAAGTGGGCGACATCTAGGTTACAAAATACGAACTTCAAACTGGGGGAAAACAAACTATTGTCTATGGATAAAGTGCATAGACTACATTGCATAACATCTTGCTGTAGCTGTAGTTGTCAAACTTGTCAATGACTTGAAGTGTTATCACTCTTATCAGTACACAGTACACAAGCTAATGGCACTAATGGGATTGAGTGAGGATTGAGTTTGTTTTCCCCCAGTTTTGACGTGGCTTTGACATGGAACGATGAAAGCCGAGCGCCACCTGGTAACATTGATTTCCGCGAATAGGGATAGCAGATTTTTCAACCTTATACCACAAACAGCTACCTCAGTATCTAAGCAAATGAAACAAATAAAACAACTGAAGGGAATGAAAATGAAATTAATGAAACAATTATTGGAAACATATGGAACAAATGGTAGGCATGGAATGATTAAAAATAATGGAACCAATGGAACAAACGAAATGAAAGAGAAGTAAAGGAAATAATGAAAAGAATTATATCATATACCCGCTGACCTGGAGAGCTATTTTCAAATTGTTCAATCCCTTGTCATATACTGATGAGTATGCTATGAAAATAGAACCCCAGATCGATCTTAATCAGTAGAGAATATTGCTGCTGCAACCGGAATTATGTCAGCAATACTACCCAAGAAGTCTGATAAGTACTTGCGTCGAGCGAACTTACATGAATATACTTTGTCTTTCCTCGTCATGTGGAATTAATTCGCACTTTCATAGGCTCACTCTACAATACATTAAAAAAATTTATCAGCAAACCGTAAATTTCTGGTAAATTGCTCGACTGAAAACGCTTTTGCTCAATTTGCAAGACCCCTTAATCTGTCGTTCATGACATCGAGTCATGTTTCTTGGGGAACCCGAATCATATGAGTAAGAGTGAGTGAGATATATGACAGATCTTAATTGCGCATGATTGATGCTCTCCAGTTCGATCTCGTGAGTGGCTTACCTTCTTTCTTACGGCATTTGCGGCTTAGATAGTAGTATATGTCGATGTTCACAACAAAGAAAAACAGCAATCACTATTTTTTAACTACAAAGTATTATTTTGTCATTCTTATTTCATCATCCGTTGTCTAACTAATGAATGAAATAATAGTACCATATAAAGCATATTATTATTTTGGACGACTAAAGGACCCCGCACTTTTAGTACGTAAAATGGTTCTCGGTGAAATTTTCAGAATTTTCAGTATGTTGTGGAATTCGATGAACTGATTGAACCTGCAGGATCGTAAAGTTCTTTGATGAACAGATTCTGAGATACAGGGCGTTGAAGTTAGAAATCGGTATTTTTCATTTAATTATTTTCTCGAAATTCAAAGATGCCAAGTACAATTTTCTTCGCTCATATCATTAACGAACCTCCATATCACTCAACATAATTCAGATGGTTCAGATGATATAATTGTTTACAGAGTGAAACATATAAACATTTCAGTGAAGTCTGAAAATTCGATGTAATAATGAAATATCGAAAAAATAATTTAGTCATGCAATATACTATTCTCATTCCATCATGAATCACCATTCATACATTTCATACAGAGTGATTTGAAAAATTGGTGACACCTAAGACCGATTTATTCATACACATCCTGTATATTCGAGTGAATTATTAACCTCCCAAGATAGCTGATACCGTATGAACATGATTTCGTTGAGATATATAGGGTGATCATGAAGATTTTCGATGATGAAAATGACAAAAAATCGTGTTTTTCGAAACCACCCTGTTATTCATGATTAACTCGGTGAAATTCCCTAATTATTTTTTAATATATTCATCCTTCGCTCCTCAACGCTGTCTTGAAAATTCAGTTTCCTATCATGACGGGTGTCATAGTTATTAATTCAGGAACTTACCATTTGCATGAAGAGTTGAAGAGACTTGTTCACTCACATTCGCATAGTGGCCGATATTTTTCACAAATAGTGAAACGTGAGAATGTGGAGACGAAAATAAGTTTAGTATTCATATACAGGGTGAACATTAGATATTCAATAACAATAGCAGATATATGAATTTAATAATATTAATATAATGTACAGATAGTTAGACGAATTTCGTTGGTTTACAAGCTCTGCCGAAATGAAGAACGAACAATACCTAGGAGATGGGAGAATGATTCGGTAATTCACGCTTCCATTTCTAATAGGGAGAGTTGAATCCTGGAATCGACAGATTTTTTCACATTTGTTTTCCACTCAGAATCAGGCGTTTCCATCATTTTCATATTTGCTTGCTTTCAGTAATTATTATAATATCATTAGATTTATATTCATATCACATTCCAATGATATAATTCAATACGTATGATGGTGTAATATAAATAATCCTATCATACTGGATGTTTCCGAAATAGCAGCGATAAATATGAAAAGGTGTTGTATGGGACATAATGACAAAAAAATACTGAACTTGTCACGCGGCTACTAATTGTTGATTTCAGATTGGGTGTTGTAACTTAGAATATTCCCTTTGTGGAATTTATTGTTCATCAATTTATGAAGACTTGCAAAAACTTGTTCATTTACATTCGTCAAGTGGCCGAGATTTTTCACAAATAGTGAAACGTGAGAATGTGGAGATCAAGTGTAACATAAATGATCTATGAAGGCCCATCCATTAATGCAATCCACCATTCCGGAGCTAACTGCATATACGGCACATAAGTTACAACAAACAACTCATACATGTTCCAGATTCAATTCTGGCTGCTGGAATAGTTGGACTCGCCCTATCGTGTATGAGGCCCCGGTACGGGACATCACTAATCACCAAAAGGTGACTATAGGAACAGCCTTAACCGAATCCACACGATCCACCTCCCCCGTAGCAGCGCTACGGTCCTCACACAATAAGAAAACCCTGTCGCCTGTCGGGCACATAACTTCAAGTCTATAGTTTATTATTATCATCATTGGATTATTTGCTATTTCACCATCATATATACGTATCGAATTATATCATTGGAATGTGATATGAATATGAAACTGATAATATGATATTATAATAATTACTGATAGCAAGCAAATATGAAAATGATGGAAACGCCTGATTCTGAGTGGAAAACAAATGTGAAAAGATCTGTCGATTCCAGGATTCAACTCTCCCTATTAGAAATGAAAGCGTGAAAGACCGAATCATTCTCCCATCTCCTAGGTATTGTTCGTTTTTCATTTTGGCAGAGCTTGTATTCCAACGAAATTCGCCTAACTATCTGTACATTATATTAATATTATTAAATTCATATATCTGCTATTGTTATAGAATTTTTAATGTTCACCCTGTATATGAATACTGAACTTATTTTCGTCTCCACATTCTCACGTTTCACTATTTGTGAAAAATATCGGCCACTATGCGAATGTAAGTGAACAAGTCTCTTCAACTCTTCATGCAAATGGTAAGTTCCTGAATTAATAACTATGACACCCGTCATGATAGGAAACTGAATTTTCAAGACAGCGTTGAGGAGCAAATGATAAATATATTAAAAAATAATTAGGGAATTTCACCGAGTTAATCATGAATAACAGGGTGATTTCAAAAAACACGATTTTTTGTCATTTTCATCATCGAATATCTTCATGATCACCCTATATATCTCAACGAAATCATGTTCATACGGTATCAGCTATCTTGGGAGGTTAACAATTCACTCGAATATATAGGATGTCTATGAATAAATCGATCTTAGGTGTCACCAAATTTTCAAATCACCCTGTATGAAATGTATGAATTGTGATTCATGATGGAATGAGAATAGTATATTGCATGCCTATATTATTTTTTCGATATTTCATTATTACATCGAATTTTCAGACATCACTGAAATGTTTATATGTTTCACTGTGTGAACAATTACATCATCTGAACCATCTGAATCATGTTGAGTAATATGGAGGTTCGTTAATGATATGAGCGGAAAAAATTGTACTTGGCATCTTTGAATTGCGAGAAAATAATTGAATGAAAAATACCGATTTGTAACTTCAACGCCCTGTATCTCAGAATCTGTTCATCGAAGAACTTTACGATTCTGCAGGTTCAATCAGTTCATCGAATTCTACAACATACTGAAAATTCAGAAAATTTCACCGAGAACCATTTTACGTACTAAAAGTGCGGGGTCCTTTCTTTACAGGCTTAGGTAGCAGCAATTTTCTGTAGGTTTCCTTTTACTCACATATATTTTGAAAGTTGTAACTTTGTAATATGTTGAATACAGGTTAATCGAGGAGGTGGTGAATTCATTTTTATTGATTATTTGAGATATTCTCTCCTTGTTTCGATAAAATAAAATTATGAGTATTATTTCAATATAGGTGTAATAGTATTCAGATGATTTGCCCCAAAATGTCACTGTTTTCTATCAGAGAGTCTCAAAGAATAATCCAATCGTTCGTCAGTAACAATTTGTTTTGAAAAATGTTTGAGGATATCAAAGAAGAAGAAGAACGTTAGCTTAGAGGTTCCTGCGAATTGAGTAGAAGCGTTTTCAGGCGAGCAACTGACAATACATTTTCGGGTTGCTGCGTTATGACTACTAGCATTCTAGATCATTGAACTGAATATACTGACTGGAACGAGCACTAAGCTCACCGAAAAGTGTAGCCGCTTTGTGAGAGGAGTTCAAACGTTGAGAGAGGGAATTCTATCTCACAGCGTCAAACGTGTCGTACGTGATAAAGTGTTGATTAATCAATTTTTTACGAAAATCTTTCAAAAATGGTGAAAACATCAAATTCCATAGGTGAGTGTATTATTATTATATATTTCGATGAATTGAAATGTCACATCTTTGATGCGGGTATAGGTGTCAAACTCAGATTGTTTATGTTGGATTTGATATTTTGAATTGTACATTATATACATCACATATTGCTCACCAATTAACAAAATTTATGATTTGTATTGATGAAAAATTCATGTGAATTTTGTCAAGAAATTATAACACCAAGGGACTCAAGATCATGCAGATTCGGAAGATATAAATGATAGTAGTAGTTTTACTTTATTATCCCTCTAAGAGTATATTTTAAATCATACAATATACCGAACGAGCATTTAGAGCAGAGTTAGCCATGGCATATCTAGGACAATACAATTTCAAAAAGAGAATTGTCATCTAAGTTACACATTTTTTTTCAAAACTCTCCTCACTTTATCAAAATACACATCCTGTGGTAGAAATGAATGATGACACAAGTATGAGAATCATGACGCATTCCACACAAAAAAAACAGCAAATGCTGGGACAGAGAGCTACTCTTCGTCACAAAATGAATGAAACACTATTATTCTATCATATTTGAGTGTATGTGCATTTTTTTATCAATAATAATTGTAATTTAGTTTATTTTTGTATTTTTTCAAAACATTTCTCAATGTCTTTTTATTTTTTTTTTCTGTTGTATTATATGTATCAATAAATGTACTAGTATGAGCATTATTCACTGTATCAAATTTTTCTACCTGTACCTACATAATATTTCAATAAAAAATACAGCAGAAATAACCTTTTTCGTTTTAATTCCAGTATTGGTAATTAATTTTTTATTTTCATCAAAAATGAAAGAAAGTAATTTTTCTTCCACATTTGAATCAATTTGAGATTTAAATTCATAGAACTATATGCTTTACCCATTTACCAAGTTGCGTTAGTCATTTTCTAGAGGATCTGTATATTTGCATTATTCATAATTAGTTCACATATTATCTATAGGATTTGCTTCATATAAATTATCACCACTGATTGTGTAAGTAGCGTATGAAAGACATAATCATGCGAAATATATTTGAACCTTGGTCTCCCGCCATATACGAATACGTGTTAGAAAAGAATGGCTTTCCCTCCCACCTTCTAACAACCTTGCCTCAGCCATGCAGCTCACCGTGCTCGTTCCAGTCAGTATATTCAGTTCAATGGTCTAGATAGATTAATGAGTCGATGGCCTGATCTGTGTGGCCTACTAGCAGTGGTGAGAACAAGCACTTTTCAGGTGCCCTGTGCCTGACCTTCGACATATCGGCCAGCGGTCAGACGATGTCGTGCGGTGACAACACCGGCCACATGCACGTGTTCTCGTGCGCCGGCGCCACTGAACCGGTCGTCAACAGCTATTCGCGCCCCTGCGAGATGCCCGACACGCCGGCCGTCTATCCGCACTTCGGCATCGACGATTACGGCACGCCGCTGTCGGTGATCCCGATGCCGATCGTGCCGCCCGAGGTGCCGCTCGCGTCCGATTGGCCGCCGCAGTTCGTCAGCAAGGTGTACCGGTGAGTTTCATTCAAGGTCTATTAACTTCTATAAGGTTACTTCATAGTATAGCATTAGGGTGCGCGGAGAGGGGGAACGATCTGTGACGTCACTGTTTTCCCGCCGTGTGATTGTAGATTTCGTATTTTGTCACTGTCAAATGGTTTGAAAAAAATTTTGAATTTGAATTCGAAAGATTAGCGAATTTTAGACTTTAGTTCAAAACGTGATGACAAGAAGACTGAAGATACCATTGAAAGAGGGTGAGAGGCTGTATAATAAATAATATGGTGTATTATTCAAAGCTGTGTGGAGTCAAGAGTGGATATAGAACAAACAAATGTTATAAAAAGCATGTGTTTACAATTTACTGCTCTTGGGCAGCCTCCACATGAGATTCGAATAATTCCAAAGGAAGATGATGAGCTGAGGAAATGTGAATGTTCCTGTGAAGCAGGCATGTCATGGTTTTGTAAACACATTTTATAGGGACTTATATTGACAGGTAGGAAGGTACACTTTTGATCTATCACACATAGGTAAAAAATGAATGAAATTTCAGGAATGAAGACTTGGAATATGTGAAGCTGCATATACACACACTGGCACAATTAGGGGAACGGGCAAAATTTACACTAAGTTTGACATCATTTTTCTTTCGAACCGATCGCTCGATTCAAATTTTTTTCTTCACGAAATGTAGCTTCATTCTTCACGAATACATCCGAGAAATAATTACCTTCAAACGATGAGTCTTTCCATCATATACAGGGGTGTAAAAAAGTACGAATTTTTCGGTATTTTTTAGACATCCTGTGGACTGAACCACTGATAATTGAAACGATTTCTCAACACCAAATTGGAGCCCAATCTATTCCGAATATTTTCGTTTTTTATTCATCTTGATATCTCAATTATTCAAGAAAATACAGAGTTTCAAAGGAAAGGTGGATATTGGTATCAATTTTACACCTCAAAACTCAAATTGGATCTGAAAATGTGTCGTTTCTTGACTAACCTAACCTAACCATGACTAAACCTCTGCCATAGAAGACAGAAGCAGTAAAATCAAATTGTTCATTTTGTTCACCTCGGCGATATAGTCTTTCCCTGCCATTTATTGAATTGGTGCAGATGCAGCTCTCATATGTTAAAAGAACATTGGCCCACTGGTCATTTTCAATTAATGCTACAGCCCTCGCCACATCAGTAGTAGTCAAATCTCTCACGTTGAATTTTCATTAATCAAATTTATGAATTGTGAATCGCTTGACTTTGACAATAATTAATGACATTAACAAAATAGCCAACGTTGATTAACAAAAATAGCATTTCACCAAAAGAACATTGGAGCAACTTTTATCACCCCTGCATATTCATGAGAGTATTCCTATATGTGTCTTTAAACAGTAAACCGATAGGTAAAACTGTGAACAATTCTCATCTTGAAGTAAAAATCCTCACAGAAACAAGTTGAAAAACGACACGTTCTCCTCAGTTCGAGTTTCGAGGTGGTAAAATTAATACCAATATCCAACTCTTCTTTTAAACTTTATATTTTCTTGGATAATTGGGATATCAAGATGAATAAAAAACGATAATATTCGGGATAGATTGGGCTATAATTTGGTGTTGGAAAATCGTTTCAAATATCAGTGGTTCACTCCACAGGATGTCTTAAAGAATACCAAAAAGTCCGTACTTTCTTTACACCCCTGTATATGATATAAAGACGAATCGTTTGGAGGTGGTTATTTATCAGGTGTATTCGTGAAGAATGAAGCCACAATTCGTGAAAAACAAATTTGAATCGAGTGATCGGTTCGAGAGAAAATTGATGTCAAACTTAGTGTAAATTTTACCCGTTCCCCTAATTGTGCCAGTGTGTGTATAACACACACAGAAGTGGTGAAAAGAAAAAATGAGAAAGTAGATCAATCACAGATCTATTATACAGCAAAACCATTTCAATAGTTCTGCTATCCACTTATTAAAAGAAGGAAAGTGTCCCCCTAAGGAACAGTACCTACCTACATGCATTGTCCGGTAGTAAGGATGGAAATCAATGGGAAAATCATTCTCCTTTTATATATTTCAAGTTAATTTTACAGGGTATATCAGTCTCTTTTTTTTTCAAAGCCAATGAACTCAATAGGCCTGTTCGTTTGTATTGCTGAACTTGCTAAAGTTGATTTTTTTTCCATAGTTGTCTCTGTTCATGGCATGATGTAAATAGAGAGTCATAGAAAAAAATCAAGTTCAGCAGGTAGAGCAAGCACTAACGAACAGGACTAATGTAAACAACTGTTGCATGGTACTCAGGAACACTGGTGAGTTCATTAAATTTTAACATACCATCATGAGAACTGTATACTTACATTAATTTTGAATTATTTTAGGCTATACTTGCTACTTCATTTTTACATGTAGCAAGGAGTCTTGGGAAAAAAGGCAATCAACTTCTTCTTTCCAAAGGATTTTACAAATGAATTCGTTCAACATGGAGTTGAATATGAATCCAAAGCACTTTTAAAATGTGCATTGAAAATAATATTGAATTTCAAATCATGCAAACAAATTTGTGTCCAAATATTTTCCATGGTTAGGATTTTCTCCATATGAAATTATTCTTCAGGAAGGAAGACCATGGAAATAATTGAAATAGTGTCCTTCCTGAGGTCCTTACATAGAGGTTTGTTAAATAATGTGAATAACATTCAGCTTGAATTATTTTCTCAAATTTTCAGGTAAAGAAAATGGTTCAGAACATTTTGTGGAACAATGCCATTTCTTGATAGGAGATGGTATAAAACATGTGAAGTTGGAAGAGAGACACACTGATAATGGATAAATTCAGTTGGGAATAATGGTCCTCAAATGTCCCTAATGAACTTGAAAGATACTAATTTTCTTGTATAATTCTTCTTTCTCCAAAACTTACATAGAAATTTCAGTTAATTTTATGAAACATTTTGTGTTGATCTTATAAGGAAAATATCTTAAAGATATTTACATCATGTTGCACTTTTATTGCATTAATAAAATGGAATGAATTTTGATAATGACTTCTTTATTGATTCATTTTCTTATTATTTCATTTTCAAACAATAATATTTTCCAAATTGATACTGAAATAAAAGCATTGAGTTAGAATCATTCAATTTATCCAGTAGGAAATCCTCTTTAGTTAATTGTTTCTTCTTTCTCAAACATGATGGCCTTATCAATTTCAAGAATTTTTCTTCACATCCTTTGTCAGCATGTCCTTATCCACCATGATCCCATCATTAGGTTCAGACTTCCCAATAACATTTTCTTTATTAAAAAATGCTTTATCAGTAGCTCAACCTCCATATCCTTAAATGCCAACAGTAATCAGTCCTGATGGAGTGATATTGCAATAAGAATTTGACTGAGTTATTGTAAAGTGTCTGTACAACAGGAGCACAACATAACATAAATATCTTCCTAGATTTCTGTTTTCAGTCTTTTGTACTTGTAAAGTACAGTAAACTATCTCGTGAATACAAAAACATATTGGAAAACTTCAAAATTTATCAAAATTCACTGGATTGCACAATGCTAAATTTGTTTGTTTTGTTTATCACCTCCGCCATTTTCATTTTGCCGCTCGACAAAAGACGACTGGGGAAACAGTGACGTCAGGCCAGAGAAATATGAGGCAACCTTATAGAGTTAAATAGCCTTGAGTTTCATTAGGTATTTTTTCGCGAGATCCCGTTGATTTGACGGGAACTTATATTCAGTTCCCGTTGCATTTTCGCGTCATAATATATATAAAATAATATACCGGAATCTGTATTGAATGGGCAACTTTTTCTTTCTTTCTGGTTAGTGTTTAAATCGAAGATTTTTACTAGCTGCATACACGTAACTGATCAATAGAATGAAGAGATTTTGTATTTCGTGTAAAAATTTTTATTATAAATCGCAAAGCGCTTTCGGCTAAAAACTGATGCACTGATGATGGCTTTCTAGCCGAAAGCGCTTTGCGATTTATAATTAAAAATTTTACACGAAATACAAAATCTCTTCATTCTATTGAGTTTTTAAATCTGCCAGCGACATTAAAAAATCAACTTCAATATTTCATTCGATGACAAAACCCAAGGAAAACAAAATTTTTCTCAGGTGATTGATAAGAAGTAATACATGTCATAAAATCGTTTCTGGGAAAAGGTGCATCCATGTGGATGAAATTGGTAAAAAAAAAATAACAAATGTGACATAGTTTTATCATGTTTTATTGTACTTAATTCTTTGTATAGAAATAAGAAAACTTTAATAACTTCCGAACCATCAACAATTGATCACCACATACACGGTTAGTTTGATTGCAAATGCCCCCCCCCTACCACCACACTTCTTTTTATCCATGACTTATGGGACACCCTGTATACTCATGCCAGATTAAATTTCTTCAAAAATAGTCTATATTCCAATTCATGTTTTATAATTCATTTTTCAGAGAAAAAAAAAACATGTTATTGATTTTTAATGGTTTTTATGGTTTTTATGGAAAATGATATAATAAATATCAGGGACATGAATGAGTCAACAGATGATAATAATATTATAATAATATAACTTAATTAATCCAACAGTTTTCATGTGTTTACAAACGGAAAACACCACTAAACAGAACTTGTGCGTGGGTTGGGATTAACAATTCCCTATTACGACTAATGGGAATGAATACTCGAATATATTATGAATATATTTATTGATATAAATATTTCAGCGGTATTCTGGGGATATTTTTGGTTCTGATTTGCATACATAAAAATTTAGTGAAGTCAAATGGAAAGTGAAATCTGAGAAAAGAAATATTTTTCCAGGAGACCAGTTGGTATTGATCCAGAGATTTTAAGAACCATGAAAATGCAGGGTCCAATCGGATACGCTCCCAATCCGAAAACAATAAGGCGAAATCAAGTGAGACACGATAAATTAAAAACTGTTTATTTCATTTAGATATATTCTTCGAAATGTTTCCTTATATTGATTTGATGCTTTATATTTTGTGATTTTTTTTCATTTATTGGCTGTTTGGAGAAAGACTTGTTATTTTAGGTTAGAAATAAATGTTTATGTTGGAGAAGGGTGCATTTTGTCACACCACATAACACAGGCTGTTCATTTTTCCCATTCAAAAAATTTTCCTCTCATGTACAGTAGTGTCCAAATTAAAAGGAACGACTCTTCAGTTATCTTATTATAGGTATATAGTGTCCCAGCTTTTAAAAAAGTAAAGTTATAACTGGAAAGAATTTGAAATAGGTGTTATATTACCATTAGAGTCATAATATTTCTTCAAGATCTGTCTTATGTACCAGATATTGAAAAAATGTATTGATTAATTCTGGCAATTGAAAACTGATTGAAGTAAGCAATTTGAAACCCATTCAAATATATCGTTCGTTCTGAGCCTATTCAGAGTTGGATATTTCCTATCTCATCTCTTATTTTCATTGTATGACTAGTATTGAAGCATATTATTGGTAATTACCATTTTGGTAATAATATACTATACCACAAAAGATTCTCATGTATAATTTATAGGAGTCGTTTCTTATATTTTGAGCAGAACTGTACATCTCTTGGTATGTTGATGTTTGTTTTTCCAGGTATTGTATGATTTTGGACAAAACGGTTACACTCCGCCTTTTGCAGCTGCTAACCGGAGTCCAATACATCATGAAGACAATGTTTTCATAGCAATTCCTAAAAGGTATCGGAAAGTCGATGTTAGATACAATAAAATGGGTACCGAAGATTTTCAGTTCGATCAATTCAACAAGAGCGGCTTTTCCGGATTAGAAGCCACATTACCCAATTCCTATTGTAATGCAATGATACAGGTAAAATGGAAGTTTCCCTCGAACGAATTATCATAGAATTATCATTCAACAACCTAGTATTAGATTTCTAATGTCTAAAATGGCTATAGAAATTATTCATATTCTCTAAATTCTCAAAATACAGCAATTTAATTATTAATGAAGCAGACTATGACTTACTACCTAGATATAGTGACATTTGGGGATCCATGTCTATGATAAGTAATAATAATAATAATATTTATTGATCCCAAGAAACTTACAATGTTTATAGAGGGATACAAAAAAATCAAGTATGCAATAAAATGAAAGATAAACAGTTCAAGCAGAATTAATTGATACAAGGAAAGAGTTGAATTGGTAAAACATATTTCTTCAGTTCACTCTTGAATTTTGTGAAGAGCCTAATAGATTTTATTCTGTTGATTCGACTATTATAGATATTTATTTAACAAAAATATGATAATTTTTCCACAAATCGGGTTTTTATTTTGACAGTTTTCAAATGTTCACTTTGTCTGGTGTGATGCTACACATCGTGGATGCTACTTACCCGAATATAAGAATAAAAAGGACGCTGTCAATGGGTCTGACCTCAAACCTTCAAAAAAAATGTAAACAAAATACATCTCAGTATGGTGTAAACCAGGTTTGCAACCACTGTTGACATGCAGACTTGAGTCAATTTTTAGAGAAATTGAAATATCTCTTCAATCTTTCAACAGAAATCAATATTAAAATGATCTACCCCAACCACGAGCTATCAGCATCATTGTTATTTTGTATACCGGGGACACAGACTCATGGTATTCCCCCCTTTTCTCATTTGTTTTTCTAGCAATATTTCTGAAATTTGGGACATCGAATAAGTTCACTAGAGGGCAGTTTCTCACATTTTGGGATATTTTTTTCATCTTCCGGTTTTCCTGAAATGGCATCAACTTTCGATTGTCAAATATCAATGAGTGTGACAGAATAGAAGTTCCGTTGTTGCGCCGTCACACCCATTGATCATATGGAAACTCCGAACGCAAAGATCATCGTGAGGATATTCGATGTTTCAATTTTCAGATATATAGCTAGAAAAACAGAGGAGAAAAGAGGACTATACCATGAGTCTGTGTTACCCAATTTTATAATCGTCAATTATAATGCTATTCTAATATTTATGATTCGTCTATAATTCCCATTTCATCGGGTATTCAGTTTATAATTTCCAGAAATAATCCGATTTCCACCCATACTATTTGTTGAATACGTCATTTCAGGTAGTTCACGTTCAGGTATAATTACTAACTCGATTACTAACTATGATGTTAGAAGGAAATTTGCCGAAAATCTTGAAACGCTGTAATGCCGTAAAACGGCTGGCATTCTTAGCTGTGTGTACATGGCTTTTCTAAAAGTAGTACGTCATGAAAATGGCGGAGGAGCCGAAACTTTATCTTCACTAATTTTTTCTAATCTCAAAGTTGATCGCACGAGAAATTACAAAAAATATATGTGTTCAATGAATTCCTATTAACTATACAGAGGAATTAAAATTTGAATGTTAGAAATTTGCTCATTATTCATATGCATCATTGTACACTAACCAAATGATCCACCTCTATGTAAAAGGTTGAAACCAAATTTGGCCTTGGTTCTCGACGAGTTTGTAGGCGTAGCTAGCGAAACAAAATATGGTCGAGTCCATCTATCTGTAAGTTGCTGAACTATCTAGCTAGGAATATCCTTGCATCAAACATAAAAAAATCAACTTCCAATATATTTTGCATTGCCGATCTCTACCCTTCCCTACTCAACGAAAAGGAGCTACACTTTGTTGATCATAGATACCTTCACCTTCATCGGGCGCCGTGGCCGAGTTTGTTTATGCGCTGAAATTCGCTAGATAGCCGTTCACGATGCGAAGGTATTATCGGTTCGAATCCGGCTATCGGCTGAGCAATTTTCTTTAAAATGTGTGATTCATGGTTGTATTCCTGACAGCACCTCGATGCCCTAGAAGTGGGTCAGATTCCACTATAAGCAGTAGGTCCCGGTCTTCCTAATCCCGCACAAGTTTCGACTTCTGGGGAGTTGGTTCCCAACTTTGAAGTAGTGATATACACAATTTTTTTCACAAATTCACTTAATGAATAGAATTTCTGGCTTCATTGCTCTCATGAGGATGGTTCATCTTACGAGTGTAAATAATCAAGCATATTGGTCAGAAAGGCAGGAACATAATGTATGATGATATCATTTCCTGTTGAAAGTACTTTCCATATTATGTTATTCTTTGGCTGTAACTCTGAAAAATGTACCATCTAGAGTAAATTGAATAATAGCATAGTGTTTTTTTAGGTTTTGTACTTCACTGAGCCACTACGAGCAGCTTTGTTGTCACATCTGTGTACTAAGGAATTTTGTCTGTCCTGTGAACTCGGTTTTCTCTTCCACATGTTGTACACTTCCTCACAAAATCAGCCATGCCAGCCCGGTAATTTCCTTAGGGCCTTCAGGACTGTCCCAGAGGCATCCGCGTTGAGTTTGATACTGAGCGATCTGCATCCCGAGGCCAAGCAAAAAATCGAACTTTCTGGTTTAATTCAGGTAAGTGCCTGTGAAATGGAAATTATATTTTGATGGTTGAAATTTAGAAAATTCGGATTGAATTTGCTTGATCTATTGTAGTTGTAGTCACTATTTAGATAGTTTTCGTTATCGCCGAGCCTTCAGGATAAAACAGAGTTGATAATAGTACACAGTAGTAGTACATGGATGCATGGATTCAGAGATTGAATGAAACACAGACTGTTACGAAATGATCTTTGTAGTTCTTTTCCAAGGTTGGCAGGATATATATCAGTGATAAATATCCGGATATATATCTTGATATTCATCCCGATAACTTTTTTTTTTATATGAAAATATGGCCACGTATTATGCTGCGGTGATTCCCAGTCTTTCCAAGACGTTGACACCGAACCACCTTTCCGCGTTGCATTTTTATTTTCATTTAGTTTCTATTTCTGATTGATATATCTTGCGACTGTCATTTGTTTTATCAATAAAAATTTCACAATGCTTAATAATAATAGAAATATTATTTTAGTTTTTCTCTTTTGGCTGTAAGTTGCTCTGTTCTCAATTTTTGTTTTTTGCAAATTATCTTGATGAATGAATGTTTTTCAGTACTACCTGTGCATTGTCTCGGCAATTTTTTGAATCAATTTCATTCACTGATGATTTTTCTAGAATTTTTTCAGAGCTGGAACAGGTTCATATTGCACCAGATGCACGTAGAATTGTCCGAAAACAAGAAGAAGAACGAGGAGAGAAAAATCAATAGGAAACCGTTCGTTTATAAAGAAGTCGATTTTCCGAGTATTTCTTACGAACGAAATAAGGAGAAGAGGCTCTCTGGAGAAGAAATCGACATCAAAATAGAGGATGAAAAACGAGAAGACGTATCGGAAATAAGTCAGCTGTTTGGTTCGAAACGGTTGCAAATGAACTGCTGTTTGAAATGTGCAAATGAGGTAAAGTAACATAATATCTTGATATTATGAGATAATTATTTTTGTGCCTGTGTACAGAGAAATCATTTCATCTGGTTTGTTGTTTATCAAAATCGGACATTGAATAATGGCCTTGTAACTGAACTGGTTTTCTTGTATTTTTATGACTAATTTCCATGAAATTTATCAAATCTTTGGAAGAAGTCCATGGTAACTCAGAGTGGAGTGGTGTAGTTCATAGATGAAAACCCAAAGTCATCTCCACAACTTTTATTCAAGTATGGAATTGAAAATTAGGTAAAGTTTCTCAAGACATCAGCAATATTTTTCTTAGATTCTGTGATGATCTGAATATGTCTTTCTACACTACAAACTCGATATCACGTATGTTTGTCAATAATAAGGATAAAATTCCCCCTCTCCATAAACCAGGTGTATATAAATTATCTTGTTCACATCCCAATTACAATTCCCAGTACATAGGCCAGAGTGGTAGACGGATTCAAACCAGAGTAAATGAGCATATTAAATACATAGAAAAGCCACTTTTCCTCCCCCTCTGGGTGTATTTAAAACTGGTAGTTCCTTTTCTGACCACGTTCTCAACTCCAAACACAGTTTTAACGTTGACAATAGTTTAGAAATCCTACACGTATGCCAAAATGGCCGTTTATTAAATCTTTTGGAAACAGAGAGATAAAGATGAGATAAATTTGTCATTGAATAATAATAATGTAACTTCCTTGAATGAACAAACTCAATATGATTGCATCAAATTTTTCAATTCATTGAATTTTGCTAAATAATTGTCATTTGCCATACACACTTTTTTCTAGATTTTTGATTGTAAGATTTCTGATTGTACCAATCTTGTTTTCAGTTTTGTTGCCAATCTGACGTAGTGCTGTTCTATGGTGTTTCGTCCCCCATCACCTAATCTGTCTATCTATGCAACTAGTTGTTCCATGATCTGGATGACTTGACAGTTGACAGCATAAAATTTTACGGTTCAGTGCTTCCGCACACGTGATTCTTTTCTTGGTTATTTCCGAAGCCACATCTTTCTTATTATAAAAGATTGATATTTTCAAGTTTAAATAGCACTTATCGGTGATTTAAGGGTACCGTGGGCCCTAATTAAATATGTTCCCGACCCCTAAACCTTCAACTTTTTAAAATTTTTTAAAAAACATTTTTATTATATAAACAGTAAGTTTCGCTCATATTGATATTTCTTCAAAAATTTTCACTGTTCCTTTTCCAGATCATGGAGCAATGGCCTTTGCTTGCTCCGTTATTGCTTATTTTATACACATTGCAACATTTTTCACTTCCATGTCAGTAAAATATTATTGTATCATACCATAGGTCAAAATCTGTCTTTTCTAGAACTTTACATTTTCTTGGCTGATGATGGGCTTATATTAGCCCGAAACATGTTCCCTCATATGATCTATGATCATTAAATAAAAGTTGTGGAGATGACTTTGGGTTTTCATCTATGAAATTTATCAAAGCTTTATTCAAATAAAGTTACTCCATTACCAACTTGTCATTCATTTTTGAGTTAAAAAAAATTGCATCAACCAACAAAACCAAATAGTTATTCAATGCTTCCTTTTAGCCTTACTCGTTTTCCGATGGAGATAAAATTGCTTTTCTACTGCAATGACAATAAGACTTTATTTCTACTTTTTGGCCAGTTTCTATTCATCGTCTAGATAAAATAATGTATTTATTTAGGTGAGGAAGGAGTCGGTATTGTTGGCTTGCAACTTGGTCTATCCGACTCTCGAACCAGACAGGGATGAGTGGAGTTTTTGTGATATTCTGAAGAGGTCTTTCTGTCCCCAACAAACAACACCGGCTTGGTGCGAAAAATGTTCGAAGTTCTCGCCTACCTCACAGTCCAGAATATTACAGGTGAGTGGCATGTTTTTCTCATATCCGTTTTATCAAGTAGAGTACTCGATGAATCACTAAATTCCCGTTTGTTAACGGAAACGGGAAAGGTCCTTGAACCATTCGGGATCAAATGGACTGCATGTCGCTTAATTCTCAGTCTACGGAATAGGACTCCTTTATTAACTTTATCTACCTTTATCTACTGGGCCTTACCTTCCGCCGATAGATAACCACAAGAAGCACTCAAATGAGCATCAAAATATATGGCACACTATTTAAAAAATAAATCATCACACTCTTTGGGGGCACCCTTTCTTGGTAGGAGCCCAATCGCCCAATGATACAGATAAACTCAGCAAAATAGGATCTTATCTTAACTAATAACTGAGTTATAAAAGACGGGAGGGGAGATGCAGGACCCTGTATAACTCCTTGTGTACTGAAAGCAACTGACCATCACAATGATTTGACTTTCTGGTTTCTCACTTTTAACTCGAGAAGATATTGGTCCTACCAAAAATAGCTCTGTGTTCTGGTTCAATTTATAAGTCATGTTGGCAGAGACGTCGATACATTTTTTCTTGGGGGAGGGGGGTGGCTTTTTGGTTTACGTCATGAAAAAAAAAATCATCTTATAGAGAGCCATAAATAATATACAGTGAGGACATGCAAAGTCCTCTCCTCCCTTTAACTTTCTAAAGGAATAAGCTAATGAGATCGGATACAATTTCACCACTTGTTGGCATGAGAATGATTGTGGTCACGTGACCTAGTTTAAAGAGGGCAAATTTTTTTCAAATGGAATGCGGGTCACGTGGTACCTGGTTTTGATTGCCTTTTGATTCTCTACCGTTTCAAACTGAGAACCGTAAAGGTGAAAGAACTTTCGGAATGAATTACAAAACCGATCTTTTTTCTGTCTAGTAATCGGTAAGCATTTCAAGCATTTTCGAGCACTTGTTGCGATTATTTGACAGTTATTCTGGATTTTCATGTATCCTTGGTAAAGTTCGAAGATGGTTTTGCTCATTCTTTATGTTTATCTTCTACTACGTATAAGCACCGATAATATCCATACTGACTACAGTAGGGAATAACAATACACTTCGACCCAACATCAAAGTTTCTAATGCCCCAGTTACTGATCAATTTAGGTTCACCAACATTTCTAATTTTCATTAAATGGTCATTTAGCAGTTGAAATACCAAGTGATTATAAAATCATTAGTACTGAAAAATTTACTCAAATGAAGCTTTAACTGAAAGAATCATTCAAAAAAATGATTTATTATTATCTCATTACAGAAGATGTTTTTCTGCGTAGGACCATACGTCGGAAACTTCTTTGGATTCCATCCTTCTTTGGTTTCCTTCCTTATTTGGATTACTTCCTTCTTTGGGTTCCTTCCTTCGCTGGGTTCCTTCCTTCTTTGGTTTTAATATACTTCTTTGGGTTCTTTCGGTTATTTCCTTCTTTGGTTTCCTTCCTTCTTTGAATTCCGCCCATCTTTGATTTCCTTACCTCTATAGATTCCTTCCTTCTTTGGTACGCGGTGACCGTAACGCGAGTTTGCCGGTTCACTTCCATCCCGAAAGTGCCTAACTGGCCTATTGAAGTTTTCACTTCAAAAATGCAAATACATTTTCGAAACCTGTCAACATTTCCAACACTTGCAGTCCCTTCCCAACGTTCTGGCGATCAACACTGGCCTCCACGTGCCGCAGCACAAGCAGTTCTGGCAGACGCAGATGGACAAGGTAGTTGCGCGCGTGCAGCACTCCGACCTGGCCAATCGGCGTTCGGCCACGCCCACTGCCGCGCTAGGATCGTCGAAACCGTGCCGGTACGGCGATCACTGCTCGAGGCCGGGGTGCCGGTTCCGGCACAGTTTCGATAGCGCTCCTTTCGCGCCGCCGGCGAATAACCCGTACTGCAGCAACAACTGGCTGCCGCACGGGATCGAGCTGGAGTTAAGGGAGGGGGAGCTGGACGTGAGGAAGGAGGAAGAGGGCGAGAAGGAAGAGGTGGGTGTTATTTTTTTTGAGGAGGGGCGGACTTATGGTGATGTTGTTCAACCAATGTTGCTCTAAATAATAATCTAGTCAGTAGACGACAGGTATAATATTGTCTGTTCATTGGGAATAAAGTACCCCGCACATTTTTTACGGAACATGGATTTCGACAAAATTTTCCGAAATTTTGAAATTTATTCATTTATTATCCACTTATTTTGTAAATATCATTTCCCTCAACTTATAATAGTGATAAAAATGTTTTTTTTTCTGTGACGGGAAAAAAGTTCGGCATTTCATCTCTGTTGGCAGGTTATAAAATGTCACTTTTCATAAATTACTTTTTTCCTGTGGGAAAAAAGTGAGTAGTTTTTTCCCCGGATATATGGCACATATATATATACACTGTTGATGGCTTTTGTTGTGCTGAGTCAATAATACTGTCTCCGAGAAAGAACTGCAAGTCCTTTTATCTTCCATTCAACTTCGCGGTTACGTATATTACTAAACAACCACTAAATTCGAAATTTTTTGAAATCAAATCACAAAATTAGACTGACAGAAGTGACATCAGATATTGATTACTTCAAAAGAATGATAAAGATGCCTACAACGCAGGTATCCCTACTGTTGAAAACTTGAAATTTCACGTCAATAATTTTCAAATTCCAAAATAATGTAATATCTTCTCAATATTGATTCGTCCTTTCTTCTGTCACAGTAAAAAATAGTGTCATTTGCACGGGAAAAATATTAGACTTTAGCTCACGGTTTTTTGTCTCCCTCTGCTACGCGTCGGGAATGGAAGATAAAAGGACTTGCAGTTCTTTCTCAGAGACAATGTTATTTGCTAATTTTCGAAACAATAGGACACCAAAATCCATCAACAGTGTATATAATATACAGAGTGATTCATTAAGAATGGGAAATCCCTGAACTACAGATAGTTAACACAAAAATAATGAAATTCTGCCCAATGTGCCTGATGAGAATGTTGCTGGTTTAGGAGATACAGGGTGTTCTAGGGGGAGATTTTATTTCAAAATTTCACAATAACTTTGTTATTTTCAACAGCATGAACATGAAATCTTGTGTTTCTAGGTTTTCTGACATAAGGAATATGAATTTGCATCTTATTTTGTGATTGCCCATAGGCGCTAGTGGCACTCTGTTACTTCGATAATTTACATCATATCTTCTATGTCAATTCATTGATGATCAAAATAAGTGGAAAATCTGAAAGCTCGTTCAATTTCACATGAGAAATGTCTCTATCAAATTGTCTAACTTCAACGGTTTTTGTGTTATTCTCTCTTGAAGAGATTTATGTTCCAATTATAACATTTTAATAATCATCAACGAGACTCTTCAGGTCCCGGAAGAACGAGCACACATCATTGAAAGTCTGGTTCAACTTCATAATGCTTCGAAACGCATTTCGAAATTTTTCAAGAAATTGTCCATCATTCACCCCATCTATCATCTAATATGAGAACCCCACGGAACTCGCATTGAATTGTTCATATCGACAGCTAGTCTGACCAATTGAAAGTGGGTACACCAGAGGAATTATAAATATCTCACTGTTCAAAATTTTAAGATGACAAATACGTCAGTTCGAATCAAGGGACCCTACAACTTTCCTTCTTGAGATCCTAATTCATTTTTTTAACGTACAGGAATCATCCATGAAAGAAAACGTGGAATCCAAACGGCGGTACGCGCTATCAGCAGTCGTTTGTTACATCAACGATCAAACGTCCAGCGACAAACGCAACCTCGTGTCCTTGATAAAGGTGCCCAAGGCGTACTTTTTGGAACGCGACAAAGAGCCGAACGACTATCAGTGGTATCTCTTCAACGATTTCAGCATCAGTCCATTGATGGCGACCGAAGCGGTTTGGTTCAGCTTAGATTGGAAGGTGCCTTGCGTGCTCTACTATTCGGCTGTGAGCATGCTGGATGCTAGGAGTGAGATCACGAATCCGTTGTCGAGGGTGAGTATTCAGCTCGTCATATCCCAGATAACAACTCAGAGCAATGAAGAAATATAGAGATTATTTATTTATTTATTGAAAATGTTACTTCCAGTCAGGATCAAGTTCTGGTATAAGGAAGTATAGTTAACAATAATACCTAAAACTATACAATTATAATAAACTGATGAATAATAAAATATTTGATAACATTAATTATTAAATTTTGACAAATCATTTCATATTGGTGAGCAAAAAACAATTTGAATATGAATCAAAAAGAATCATCTATTTCGTTCAGAAATGATGATTTTTTGAGATGGTATTTGAATTTTATTGTATTTCTGCAATTTTTTATATTATCTGGTAATTTGTTATATTCCAAGAGAGCAGCGTGGGTGAATCTTTTTTGGCCTATAGAAGTATTAGCGATATCAAGATGAAATAAACCATGTTGTCTAGTTTGATAATTATGAATTTCATTGTTTACTGTTAAAATAAAATTAGATTTCAATCTTTTATTTATGATATTGTATGTAATTTTCAGTCTTTCGATTTTGAACATTTCTTCTAATGAGAATGATTCAGTTATTTTATATAATTGATTTGTTGGTGTATCATATGGTAAACGATACAGTACTTTCAATGTCTTGAAGCAAACATGACGAGCAGGAAAAGGTCAAAGTTCTTGACCTACCGCATACTTGACAGAAGCCTTTTTTTCAATATCGCAGAATAAGGTTGCATTTTACCCGTTAGATGGCGAAATCTCAACAAAAATTCAAGGTTGGTAGAACTGATGATGATTAAAATTCCCCAAAATTACAGTTTCCTACTTTCAAATTTAATCTCATTTGATTTGAGGTTATGTTATGAATGTTATGATATTATTACTTCTGGTGCAAGCGGTGTGTAAGCGGTGTTTTCTGTTTTCTGTCATGAAAGACATCGGTAAAAAGTGTCGCTATCTTGCGGACAACTGAGAACTAATATGCCATTATTGCGGAATCTGCGGTCAAGCGTTTTGGGAGAAACAAAACACTGTCTGTGATTACACCATATTCTATCCACCTTGATGACGAGCTTGTTTATTAGGAGTTGGGTCCTTGGAGAATGTTGAGATTTGTCCCTATCGGGTCTCGTCGGTTCTTTCCGCTTATATATGTTCTGCAGAGGTGCTTCGCAAATGCTTTGTTTGCGTTCTGCGGCTGCCCAGTCGCTCGCCGAGTTATTCATTTCTGGACGTGAGCATTCAACATGGGCGTCAGCGTCATTACCAATTTTACTTGGGGCATTGACTTTGTGTAGAAATAATCTCAAAATATGAGTATATATTTATCATTCCCACTTTTATTCAAATAAGGTGAAAAATATTTGAGATCAATTGAGAATAGTAGAAATATTTTTATTTTAGAGTTGTTAATTTCAAAAACGTTTCCATCATAAAAATATTACAAAATTTAAAAGGCATTTTTTCGATGTAATTGACGATCTATTTTTTGATGATGAGCCCTTGAGTAATCATGGTTACAAATTGTCAAAATCAATCTTGGATAAATATTTTGAGATCAAGATACATCATGAAACAAAATTTTTTAAGAACCTTGACAAACACGATTTTGTTAAAAAATTGATGATTTGTTTGTTAATTATTCAATCAAAGGATGCTGTCTTAAAGTTCTTTTTTGTTTCTCCATCCTAACATAGATAATATGTGCATTCTCCTATTCCTTCTCCAAATTACTAATATCAACTTATGTATTGTATTATGTGTATTATCAGGTGGAATACTCAATATACTATTTATATTGCAACGAAAATGATAAATTAATAATATTCATTTAGGAACACCCTACACTTCATTTTCAAATCAAAGAAAATGTATGCAGACATTACTGCTACTCATTCTTAGCATTCAAAGCAAAACATTAATTTTAATCCACCACTTGGAATTATTAGATAAGCAATAATTATTTCCATCATTTTAACATTATTTCAGTAACCTTTCAAGATAATTTACGTACGCCAGTGTCACAAGAATTGTAAACATAACAAATGAATATTACTTTTCTTTCCTCCACATTTTTTGACACAGAACAAGTGAAAAAGGATAGACATATGTTTGCATCATAGTATTGTGTAGTGTTTGGATACTGAAGGCATCTATATGTATATTTCTTTATTGCTCTGAGGATAACATAGGTTTGTCCTATAAACAGTGTTGCCATCATCATTACGTTCCCCACATTTCTGTTACGGCGCTTATGAATTCACTACGTTTTATATATCTTCAAGGCAATGTTTTAATGGAGCCAACCGAGCTGAATGATATTAGTGGTGAGCCTGAATGGGCCGATTCAAATTTTGTCATATGCGCATCCTACAATCCTAGAGTCACTGGATGGTATTAGTTAGATTAAAGTTTGACTCAGAGATGACAACTCTTAGTGTTTTTGAATATTTAGATTTATTAAGTTACACACCTTGCATTGTGACAAGAGCATCATAGTCGTCCTGCGCTTTTTCATTCAAAATTGTCTGAATTTGACAATACATTTCATGAACGTCAGAATTGAAATATAATTTCATAAACTATTGAGAAGAAAGCATAAATGAAAATGTCCTGTGTAATGAATTGTGGGGATTCTGAAGAGAATGGATTTCGTTTATTTAATTTTTCAAAGGAAATATCAACCATTCTCATATAGATGAGATGTATGAAACTGCCTGGATGGAAAATTAAAAGGTGAAAACAATCAGAATTTGTAAGGTACATACATTAAAATTCACTTCTTATAACCGCGGATTAGAAGGAAACTATATTTTAGGCTCATTTTAGAACAGAAGATTTTGAGATTCGTTAAAGATAATCTGCTGTTCCATCCATTTACACAACAGACTATTAAAAAAAAATCTATTATTATCATCACAGGAAATGCAAAACACAATTATCATGGGAAAATAGGAATTGATTGCATAACATTGAAATTAATTACTTTGTCAGAAATAACACAACATAAAACATAACCTCAATTCAAAAACAATTTTTGATGACACTTTCACACACAAAAACACCCTTTCACTTATAACGTGATCACTAGAATATTCCTTACACTTTTCCTCGCACTTTTCACTGGCTTTCAACAATATTTCACATCGATAACACATCAATTTACTCTTGAAAACTAAAAACAATCACTCTGTTACATCCAGAACTCATATATCGTATTTGTGCGAATGACTGGAGGTAGACCTTTTGAACAGTGTTGCCAGACTAAGCTCACCGCGGCGTTCCTCTTTAAAGATGGCTATGGTCTTACCAATCTATCATTTTATTTGTATCGTCGGCATTGTTTGTTGATGAAATGCCAGGGTCGAATTGTTTCTAGGATGTTTTTAACGAAGACGAATGCATAGCTAGAAGCGGTGGCACGAAAGGTATCACTTTCACTCCACTCCACGACGATGAGATTCTCAAGCAAAGTGATTTGGTCGCCATGGATGCGGAATTCGTTACTCTCAATCAAGAAGAAGCCGAATTGAGAAGCGACGGTAAAATGTCGACTGTCAAACCGTCGCAAATGTCTGTCGCTAGGATAACATGTATCAGGGGGTGAGAACAGTTTTTTCAGTAGGGTGTTTTCTATGAAATGCACCATATTTCAGTTGGAAGTAGTTGGAAGTTTATTGCTATTCATTGACAGCAGTTAGTCTCAAGTTGTGTGTCATTAGTATACTGAAAACATCTAGAACTCAGTTGTTTCAATAGAATATTTGGCAAAATGGACAATTTTTGGTTGAACTATTCAAAACTTCACCTCAGACGAATTATAATTTTGATTTGATTGTCTTATTTCAAATTAGTGGTTGGTTTATTGTTTCTTTGATTTTGGTGTTCCATTTTGTACTTCTATGAGAGGTGGAAGTATGTGAATTCTTTAACACTCCTTTCTCAGCGATGACGTGAATTTGAGGCAGCATGCAATGACTTCCAACAACAACAGGAACGATTTTCTTCTTCTTGAGCCATATAGTTATTATTCATTTTATAATGGTGAATTCACCTTCCAGGAATAAAGATAATATAGTAGGTTTTTATCAACAATATAAAAGTAAATAAGCAGTTGGTACTTTTTTATTCTTAGCTTGCATGCCGCCATTTCCATAAAGTGCGAACACTGATGTTCTATCACAGCTCTGATGAGTTTCCAGTTCCTACTCAAATTCAAATAACATCAATCAATCGAGAATTTTATCATTGCATAAACCAAAGTTCTTTCTTTAAACATGACAAATGTTTGATCATGAACATAACCAATTAATAACGTGGTTCTGAATAGAGGTCACTAGCTCACTGAAAATGCTGTCAATAAGGGCGATTTTCGCTTAGACAATATACTTCTCAACAACTAAGTTTACATTTAGAACGACAATGGCTGAGATATTGTGAAAAAACGAATGAATCATACTAAGGGAGATATAAACTAGTATATCCATAATATTTCTCGAAATGAATTTTGGATGACCTTGTAAAAGTATTCAAATTTCAGGAGTGGCCAACTTGAAGGAACACCGTTCATCGACGATTACATATCTACCCAAGAACAAGTTGTTGACTATCTAACGAAATTTTCTGGAATAAAACCAGGAGATTTGGATGCGAATTTCAGTTCCAAACATCTTACAACGTTGAAGTCTACTTATACAAAATTGAGATATCTTCAGGATAGTGGAGTGATTTTTGTCGGACATGGATTGAAAAATGATTTTAGGTAACTGACCTCAAAGTTTCTTTCCAAATAATTTTGGAACAGTTCGAATGGGCCGAAATATAACTGGTCATCCATTATCTTAATAATATTTGAGTATTTTATCTCACTTAAATTATTACACTTTGATGAGATGGACATACTTTTTATTTGTTCCAGGGTGATAAATTTGGTGGTATCTCCTGATCAAGTGGTAGATACTGTCCAGTTATTCCATTTACCTCATCATAGAATGGTATCTCTTCGCTTCCTGGCGTGGCATTTTCTGGGTAAGTTATACCAATAATTATAACTATTCTTTTTTGCTACCTCTCTTTCATTGAACCAATTAACGGCAGGGGCGGATGGGACATGGTAAACCGGCCCGGGAAAACAAGCACTGGCGGCCTGGCCTATAGATACCTTATCTTAATAAAAAAAATGTTTTTATATAATCTATTTTTTTGTTAGAAGAACCTATGGGTGTTTATGAGCGAAAAAAAAAAAGAAAAAATGTGCTTCGCTTCAAGCATTTAGGGTGAATATATAAAAATATTTATCATTTAATATTTAAGAATCTCTGAATGCTGATTGGTTCTTTTGAATAATCCAACAGATTTCAGCCAATAAGCTTCTCAAATTCTTAAATTTTAAGTGTGAAATATTTTTATATATTCACCCTCAATATGAAACAGTAGGAAACATTGTGTATAAAACTAATGAAATAAACTCTACACAGTTATACGAAACAAGCACCAAGTAACAAGTAACAAAAGACAAATGATAACATCGAGGAACTTAAATAGAAGGAAAGGAACTAAACATTTGGCATACATTGCAAAATAAGAAAACAACGGAAAATCTAAAACCTAATGAATCCAATCCAAATTATATTTTATAAAAAATAGTGCAAATTAATAAGGATTTAACGAAAAAGTAATCTTTTCATTAATGTGCTCTGTCCAGCTAAAGCATTGATAACTTCTTCATTGTCAACCTGGTTCAATACAGTACGTTCAATATTCATTAACATGAATGACTAAAGTCTATTATCAGATAAGGAATTTCTTAAGCGAGTTTTTATAAATTTAAGAATAGAGAATGACCTTTCACATTGTACTTGAGATATGGGAAGCGTTAAAAGGTAGTGATATGCAGTAAATAGCGAAGAATAGGCCCCCTGAAACATATTATATTTTGTAATAACAGAATAGCAGCATATAGCACAATTTTTACAAGCAGCCGATTCTTTGGAATTGGGGACACTATCAGATTCTTCTTCAACGTCAATCTCTATGATGTCCTCAATATCTGACCTCTCTGATATTATATAAGTATCTTCGATGGTCAATTTGAATCTGTTCCAGTTTTTTGCAAAGTTGAGAAGTTCTTCTCTTAAATTTTCAGGAGTAGCAGACGAATTATATTTGATGATTTTCGCAGAAAGTCTTTCCATACAAGCTGAAAGCGATTCAAGAGAGTCATTGCATGCAATTTGTTCGAAGTTTTTTGGGTCTAAAGCAGCTGAATCCCTACATAAATCCATATTTTTTGAAAACCTTGTCTCCATCGAGTTCAATGCAGTGTCCATCAAGATATTGAAGGTATTCACTCTGAACTTGTCTACTTCCGTATTTGGTTGTTCATCGATAGTTGCCTCATCAAAAAAAGTTTTAACCCTTCTACGACGAACTTCTTGAAAGTTCTCCTCAATTGTTGCATCTATTCCTTTTGAAATAAGTTCTGCTTTAGCCCATGTTATAAATTTTTCCGTAGCTTCACTAATACTATTTAAGTCTCTTTGGAATGAACGTAGATCATTTATAGCTGTTTCAATCATCCCGTTACACTTAAGCAGATCTAAACCTTTTTTTTTTTTTTTTTCTCCTACCTTAATGGCCATGGACATTAGTCCTTCAGCCACACACAATCTAAACCTTTAGTTTGCAAATACCTTGAAACAGGACCGATAATACTGAATATTTTTAAAAATATATGAGCGGTTGGTTTTGGTTTTCCCATGCTGTTTTTGACTTGTGGACGGGCCGGAGCGTATTGCTGGAAGCCAAATCGCGGGGCAGGTCTCGTGTCCGGCCACAGGTGACAGCCAACAGGAATCGAAGATGATTCTTTTTTGACTTGGACCGAACCGGCCCGAAAGCAACCGGCCCTTCGGGAAATTTCCCGAGTGCCCAGCCGGCCCATCCGCCCCTGATTAACGGTTACTTTTACTCAACATTTTACTCATTGACTTAGGACGTTGATTTTCAAAGTGATTTGCTCCATAATTTCTGAACTATTCCTAGATGTGTTTGAAATTTGGCGTTAAATTACTATTGAAAAGGCGAGAATACTAATTTTCAGAAATCCTATCATGAGTTTCACTAATTTTATTGGATTTCATTTCCTCATCTATAAATAAAAGAGAACTACACCTTTTCTAGTTGTATTCCAGAAAGCGTCTATTGTATTTCAGAATAGAATTTTTTTTAAATATAAATATGTCTTATTACGATTTACAATGAAATAACATGAATAATCAGACAGATTCATATAGGGTATGAGATTATTCATGCGTTATTGAATATATATATATTATATAAGTTATTGAAATAAACAACAGATACAAAAATAATAATAATGAAAAAAAAAATAGTGAATGAGAAATCATTCACTCAGGTTTGATTTCCTCTTTGCAAAAGGATATGTTTCTTGACTTTAATTTTGAATTGGGTGATATTTGTGCAACTTTTGATACCACCATCAGGTAATTTATAAAATTTTGAGATAGCAAGTGAGTAAACTTATTTTGGTCAAGTGCAGAATCAGCAGCATCAAGATGAAGCAAATATGACTTGAGTATGGTGTTCATGGCTTTGTATTTGTATTTCAGAATAGTCATTTGTATTTCAGAGAGCGTCAATGGGAAAGTTTCCTATATTGAGTTTCTTATCTCACTATGACGTATTTTTTATTTTTTTTCGTAAGATCAAATTCCACTTCAGAAAAAAATAAATAAAAGAGGAACTTGGCTCCTCCACCATTTTCATGACGTACTTTCTGAAAATCCACATTCACACAGAGTTAAATGAGATTACCTGTGCCAGTCATCATAAATATGTTTAGATTTCCGGAAATTGTTCTTTGAATGCATAATAACTATACCATAATAGCAATAGGATATAATAGGTTCTTCAATCCTACTTTGTCAAGCATTAGTATTATGGATAATTCCAATTAATCTCATCTCTCACTGGCTGAAGTTGATTACTGTCAAAGATAAATTATGATATTTTGCGATAGTATCTTTAATTATTCACTAACGTGTTAGTCATAACTTATCAGTAATTTCTTGCTAATGAATTCGTTCCTTAATTCAATTGGATCTATTTTCCAAAAAAGTTGCAGATTATATCTTGCAACAGCGCCTAATACTCCGAGTCCGACCACACCACTCAAAATACTGACAGGCACAACAAGAGGAAGGAGCTATGGGTGTCGGCTTCATTCTGTTCTGACCGACGACAGTAAATTAGGATGGATAGTAGCATTGAATGTAGCCGATAGTGATTCATTGAATCAATGATATTTTCGTTTAGGATCTAGTTCTATTCGAGATATTTCAATGCATAAATAACAAAACCATAACCTGTCAGAATGAAGCCAACTACCCTCTGCATTCCTGCTCCGAGTGCATTTGTGGTTATGTATGTTTTTGTTTACCAGTTTTACTTCTTCTATTTTTTTCCATCGTTTTCCATTCGTTAGCTATTCGCTAGCTATATTCTTCACCATCAGCTATTTCAGACTAGATTCAGAATGTACGTCACAGTTTGCCGCTCCGAAAATTAGAAATTGCTCTAATTTGAAAATGAAAACGACTTGGACTTTATCAGTTGCCATTCTGTACAGCGTGGACATAAAACTGGAGAGTTCCGAACTTATTTTATGAATAGTCAATTGAATTGAATTAATTGAATAACTGGAAATAGTGTAGTATATCATTACAATACTTCATTATGAGAAATTTCATTGATGGTTAGTGACACCTTGTATTAAAAATGTTTCAGGGATCAAAATCCAGTCAGAAACACATGATTCAGTGGAAGATGCTAGAGCAGCACTTCAGCTGTACAAAAAATACAAGCAATTAGAAAAGCAATCTAAAATTGGAGATGCATTGGCCGAATTATATGAAACTGGTAAACGTCTCAACTGGAAGGTGCCGGAAGATTAGTAGTTGAATTGAATAAATTAAGTTATGATATTGAAGCAGTTAGGTAAGTCGGGAGAAAGAAACTTGAGATATTTATGTACGCGCTAGAAAAACAAACCCTCAAAAGACCAATTTATTGCTATTTTCAAGTAGGTAATTTCGTCCCATTTTCATACACACGAAAGCGTTTTGTGATTCCATTTGAATTCCATTATTTGTCGGTAGTCATGTAAAGTTATTGCTGCTGGTGTTTATCGAGCAAAGAAACAGTCTCAAGATTCATGGATAATCTATTTGCTATTATTTTATCTCGAAAATATATTCTAAAAACCCGTTAAATAATTTTGAATATGGAATACAGATCGACCGTTTTTCGATCTTCATCATGAGGTTCTGAGTTATTTTTATTCAGAGTTATTCTCAACTAATACATATAAAATTGAGAAATGATATCAGTATACATTTTTATGACTAATATAATTCAAAAATGTTTCCTTGAAAGTTGTATTATTAGATTTTTTGATTCAGACATTCCAACTGTTCCAAATTGCGTCCATCATTTGCAATTTATCATTATGGACCTATATTCATTGTCAATCATTAAAATCATTCTCATGTAAATTCAACATAACTTATAACTAATAGGAAACGATTTGTACAAACATTTTTCCTGATAATTATGTTCATGGCTCAGTTTCATAATAGTATTTTTCAAATTTCACGTAATACCTCGGAAAACAATAAACTTCATTATTCATAGTTTTCGAATTGATAAAAAGAAATGAAAAAAGTGAACCCAATTTCTCAACAAAGTATGGCGTATGACTAATAATAAATCACTACAACACCACTGCAAAAAACCCTACCCACAAATATTGCAGATAATCGAACATAATCAGTGTACGAACTATTTGAAATAATTAACAACAATCTAGATATTTTCATCTTAATTTATTGAAACTGATTTAGATAAATGTGCTCGATAATATCCTGTCAAATTAGAAATGATAATCACTGGTATTTTTGAAAAGTGCTATGAAATATAGAATTGTCTGTTTGTAGGAACCCTATTCTAAATAGTTTTCAAGATACTCACACTGGCAATATTCATTTGAATGATCGAAGTGATATTGAACTTTTTTCTACGTGGAAATACTTTTCGATAATAAAAAATGTTGAATGTTTAAATCATGAAAATCATCCATGTCTCAAAGTGGTCCCATTAGTTTCAAAAAAGACAAACGAGAAGCTCACACTTTATATAGGTAAAAAACATCAACAATATGTAACCGGTTTCGGCGCTAAGGCCATCATCAGACAATAAAAATATGAGTACCTTTGAGGAATTTACATGATAATGATCCAGAGAAGGAAGGAAAACAAAACACCCAATAGTACAGAAGGTCCAGACATCTTGAAAAATATCAAAAAAATAATCCATGTAGAACACGTGCATCCAGAAAAAACTGGTTCTGATAAGGTTATACATGGTCACCAGAATAAGAAAATGTTGAAAACTTCTCAAACTACATTAGAGAACAGCAGCAGTATGAAAATAAAATATCAAAATTTGACAAGACAAAGACATTGACAGTTCAGCACAAGACTGAAAGTTAATGAATGAACAGTCATAGAATAACACCATGGACTTCAAGTTGTAAGTAACAAAGTGGGAAAGAAACCAGTGATGAAGAGAAGACTAATAGTGTAGAGTTTGTTGAACAAAAAGAAATCAGTAATAGCGAAAGAAACAAACAACAACAAGAAGACGAAGAGTGAAGAAAATGTATCTTCGGATTCAATCAGTGGCGGAGCCGCAGATGAGTAAAACTGGAAAAACAGGGTTCAGGGGGGAAGGTTTATGAACTTTACGTCTCTATATATATTTCATAACCCTGGCTGTTCCCTAATGTAGTTTGAAACGTTTTGAACTTTTTCTTATTCTGATCACTATGTATAACCTTATCAGAGGCAGTTTTTTCTGTCTCTTTAGCAAATTCAAAAAACCTATTTGGTACTTGTATCTGATAGCCCGATGATGAAAATGCACGTGTTCTACATGGAAAAATATTTTGATATTTTTCAAGATGTCTAGACCTTCTGTACTATTTGGTATGTTTTGCTTTCTTTCCTTCTCAGGACCATTATTGTTATGTAGCGCTGAAATCGGTTACATATTGCTAATGTTTTTTACCTATATAAAGTGTGGATGGCGACTTTGTGAATTTCTCGTTTGTCTTCTTTGTTGAATGTTTATTACTGTCTTGACTTTTCATCAAGATATAACACTTTGATCCTGCCTTCATACTAGTCAGATATTTTATACATATATTTATACTAATAGAATTGAATCTATGTCAATGAACTTACGAAATTCGAAATAATAACGTTGTCAAGGATAGAAATAAAAAATAATCATTGAACTGAAGGCAAACATATTTGAATTGTCCATCAGATCCCGCTTCTGGAACTTGAGGCCAAGGTTGTTAGGATGAATAGTATATTTCTTCTTTCGTTCCTCTTACTATATACTTCTTTACATATTTGTAAAACTTCCCTAAAAATTCCATGGGTCGTTCAGTGTGTTGTGACTATATCAAAATTCTGAAAAGGTTCTGACATAATTATGAAGGTTATTCCTCAATTTTCTTCATAACGCTTCATAACCGTGATACAGAGCGTTGAAGTTTTTCAAGAGATTTTCATGAGAATTAAATATCCTTGATAGATAGATGGACCCTTTTTGAATAAGTCACTGACTAAATTTCAATAGAAAACCTTTATCAGGATTTCGTGGTAGGATAATGTATGGGGAATAATTTATGAAAGTTTGTACTGTATCACAAAATCCGCGGAGAAATTCGTGTCATATATGAGCATTATCGATATTGAATAATTTTGTAAGCAATTCAAATCAAGACCTGCAAAAATCGAATTATTCTATGGACCATCAAATGAGCATTTTTAATTACATCATAGTGAATTCTGCAAACAGTATTTGCCAACTTATTCATATTTCATGAGAGTGTTTAAGGATGTATTGAAATCTAGTCCGCGAATTACTCAAATATCACACCCTGTTCATTGAACTAATTCAACAAATATGCGTCAGTGTAGTACACAACTTATTTGAGCGATGTATTTTCCAAGAATATTGAAATATTCATAAAATTGTAAACAAGAATATCTCCTTCAGAGTTTTAGAGACCTGTAGCTATTTCGATTAAGAAGCGTTTCAGGAACGGAAGTTTATAGAAAAATCTGCTGGATGTTCCATTTTCTCCTTGTTCAAAATTCATTAAAAATCAAGCTGACTATTTCTATCATTGATAACGTTATTTTTTAATGCACAAAAATGATATAGTACAATAGTTTTTTATGTAATGTCTGTCCTCTTGTGAGATCTGCATTTATATTTTATATTCATTCCAATGCTATTTTTATTTGTACCAAAATTCGATGAACAAGTTTTTCGATTAATAAAAGAATATTCTTTGATACATTAGCTTTATTACAAACGTTATATCTAATGTTACTTGAAATTCTCAGAATGGATCACACATGTGCTACTATGGACTGATCTTCATTTTTTTAAATTGTGTAAGTATAAGTATAGATATTCGTTTCAAGGCATCCTCAGTTTTCATAAAATGAAAAAAGAAACACTTCATTCATATGTATTTATATTTGAGATCATAAGGTAAATATGTACATTTCATTTATTGAAAAAAATCCGATTCAATATTCTGGACAATATCCTAATTTCTTTAAATTTTTCAGATGAAAGATAATTTTCATGAAATTTTTTATGTATTTGGACCCATATTATTCAACAATTTCGATTTGAAATTTCATGCTTAATTGAAAATTACCAACAATATTCAGTTGTATTGGTTTTTTGTATATTCATTGATCGCAGAACAGGATATGAATAACGACAATTTCTCAAAATCAATATGAATTATCGTGAAAAATATGAGTTTGATTCATTAGATATTCTTTTTGTATACTGCCCTGCAAACAAAATCCGGCCACTGAGAACAACTCATTGCATCACCATGTTGATATGCTCAAATTAAAATCTTGAAGATAATCATCGTTATTGTTAAATCAACCCTACTTCAAAAAAATATACCATCAAAATCAGTTGGTAGGCTTGGGGAAAATCGAATTTTCAAATTTGTGTACAGTTTTTGGTGGCCGTTTTTTGCAAATGTATGTTGGAACGCCAGATACAGGGTCTACTAAATATCGAGACAGATATAAGCATAGATAAAAGTTATACAACGACAAAATCAACATCTAGAATTCATACCAAATTTCTAAACGGGAAGTATCAATGACTTTTGCAATGCTGCCGGACGTTCCATAATACAGTGCCTCGCAATTGAAAAGGAACATCTGAAATTATCGCTCAAATTCCTCTGATTTTCTCATGAAATTATTGTATCATGAAGTTTGATGTTATAATATCGACATTTTTGTTTGTTTTTCTCGATTGATTACCTACACTGTTTCGTTGGTATATTTTTTTTGGAGAATGTCACAAAGATCAATCAATGAAAATGAAAATAACAGAATCATTTCAGAATATAACATCAAACTCCATGGTACAATATGAGAAAACCAGAAGAACATTAAGGATCAATTTAAAATCGATACAAGTTTGCAATATGTCATTCTACGCCCTGTGAAATATTGATGCCGATTTAATTCTTCCTTTTTTTCGTTTCTCGAATTAATGATTCTGAAGACCCTGGAGGTGAAACATTGGAACACAACCTCACTTTTCTGTAAGACATTGAAACACAACCTCACTTCTCATCTGTTTACAAAGGAATCAAAGGATTGAAATAGGTTTTCACGATATTTTGGGATACCAATTGTGTTTTCTGGGCTATTCATTAATTCAAACATACCATCACATTGTTATGTTGTACCATAGATTATGGTTTGTTTAATCCATGGTTGTGCAATGCACATAAAATGCATCTAGAGAAGGAGGAATATGATTTTCCAGGCAAATAGTGATCCCACATAGTTTTCATTATGAAATCTTGTCATTTCTCATTAGAATTCTTTCTGCCATTTCTGCAATAGAAGCTATATAATAGCTAATAGAGTGAAAATGTCTACAACACACACGATCATATTTCGTCAGCAGGTCAGACCAATCCTCCCGTTTGATTGCACCATTGTCGGTCTAAATGAAAACCTAGTAGGCGACCTAGTACGCGAGGAGGTTATTATAGCGTTTGTCTACGAACTACCTAACTAGGTTGTCATCTAGAACGACAATGATTGCACGAATCCAATCTTCTTGCCTGCTTTCAGAAACTCCAAGAGTATTTCTATCAGCTCATATTGAAGAATCAATTTCAATGAAAAATGTCAAAATTTCTAATTTCTTATGTGACTGACTACAGTACTTTTAGATCACAATAATTCACCTACCACACCTACCTGAATAATTTGATTCCTGCGTCTCTCGCTGCATTTTTTGTGCATTGTACAACAGCACGCTTGAATTATTGAATAGCCGAAAAACACAATTCTTATGCCAAAATAATTGTGAAAAACTATTTTAATCCTTTGTGAGCAATAAGAAAAGTGAGGTTATATTTCAATGTTTAACCTCCAGGGTCGGTCATCTGACAGATCTTGCAGGCAACCCATACAACACCTGATTCAGGAAACAACGCGAATACAATATGGCGGTCGAGAGTATCAAAAAACTAAATAAACTCTAGTATACATTCACTAGCTTGTGATCGAAAATTCCATGCTTCCATTATTATTTTAATGTCTATGAACGAGCCTTGTGTGATGCCTCCTTTCTGGCGATTCATCGCCGCAGGAAAGCGAGCCTGCTACGGAAGTCCGGCGGCTCTCGATCACCACCGACTGCTTCCTGCTGTCAAAAATGACAGACGCCCGTCTGACGTCTACAATCTCACCAGATCTAGCCAGAGACAGTCGGCGATTGAAAGAGGGAATTCCTGGACCAACTGGGAAAGAGCAACGCCTGTGCAGGGGAGGGGGTGTTGAACCTGAAACAAAAACTTGTCGTGGTTTCGATGCTACAGCGTAGTCTAGAATTTAATACGAGATGCATGTACAGGGTTATCCATCCGAAAGGCCCATCACTATGTTAACCTTATTTTTTCATCGAGAAAAAAAAAACAATATGCGGAGGTTGAATGCCGCAATGATGCCTTCCCACAGCCCTTATCAGAAGTTTCACAGGGCGATCCCTAGAAGCGTGACAAACAACAACTTAATTTTTTTGAATGGGACACCCTGTTTTTCATATTTTTTTTGGAATCTGTGTTTTTTTGTGATCACAGTTCACAGTAATATAATACATGCAAGGTGCGATATCTTCTATTTTCGCTTCTTTATCACAACTCTTTTGAGTGTAGGAAATAGGTATTTGTTATACCTACAAGAAAAAAAGGTAGGTATTAGATTTCAGCTCCAGGTTGTGTTGTCTTCCGACGCTTATAGTGGAGGGAGACAAAAAACCGTGAGCTAGAATTCTAAAATTCTTACGGCTTCCTTTCCGCCATCTTCTCAGACGGTAATTAATTCGAGCAACATATAATCCATGGCTCAGCGGGTTTGTCTCCTATTTTTGCGTCATATGCCAGCAAATTGAATAAATCAGTACCAATATCATATTTATAAACCGACGACAGGAACACAGGAGTCGTCACGAAACATACCAATATAATGAAAATGAAGAGCAGCTTTGCCAGCAAGATCAATGCAGTAGCAGAACGAATACAGTCACAAAAGCACTTTCATCATTCTGCAAAAATCGAGCAAATAATGAGGGACAAGCGAGTAAGTAGAAGGATATGCCGGTTGTAACCCAGTACCGCATGTAACACTCACCAGGTGGCGTTGCAGATGTCGCATTCTAACGGCGGTGATGACGTTATTGTTGATCATATTTATTAGAATTGAATGAAAAAAAGTTGGTCTCTACTGAGGGTTGCACCCGGGGCCATCGGGCAGAATATAACATGCAGATCTGTAGCGTTCACACAAGCAGATCGATAGCTCCCTTACGATAGTAACGATGCCTCGCTAGGGTACACTGTTGCCAAAAATATCAGATATTGCTCCGTAACACACACGCTGCCATGCACACATAGGAATGACGTTGCAGCTTAGTGAGTTTTATCGTTCTCATTCTTCCGTGTTTAAAGAGCTAAATAAATCAATCAGCAAAACGAACGCATTAAACGTGCAGAATGGTCTTTTCACTAAGCAAAGCGATTTTTTAAACATCTCGACACGTGTTTCGCAAACTATGTTGGTATCTTCAGGAGAAGATTAAAATTCATCTAAAACAATCGGTTTGGGTGAGTGGTAAACCAATGTAGTGAATAAAAGATGGAAATATAGAGCACGTTTCCGGCTCAAGGGGTTTATCTAATTTCCTTCTCCAGATGCCAGCAAGATCAATAAAGCAGCAGTACAAACACAGTCACAAAAGAACATTCAACATTTTGCAAAAATCGATCAAATAATGAGGGACAAGTAAGTAGGTAGAAGAGCTATGCCGGTTATTGTAGACCAGTATCGCATGAAAAACACTTTCTGTTGCAGATATGTCGCATTCTAACGAGGTAACGAAGGTAAATTCAAATACCAGATATTCAATATTATCCGTGTGATGACACAAAAAAGCTGGCCTGTACTAGTGCGAATACTCAAAGTCTGTACTGAGGAATGAAAATTGAACCCGTGGCCATCGGTAGCGTTCACGCCGGCAAGCAAATCGAGAGACCACTTACAATGATAACGCTGCTTCGCTATGCTACATTGTTGCCAGACGTTGAAAAATATCGGATCTTGCAGCTCAGACTATTCAGAGTGTTTGTCGTTCTCATTCTTCCGTGTTTAAAGGGCTATATAAACTTGCAATTAAAACATGCAGAAACCACCAAATGCGCTACCTTTAGTTTGAACGCATCGGTGGTCTGGACACCTTCCTACCCATTTGTTTGGCGTAGAGGCCCTTTTCGCGCACCTCCATCAGCGAGTCGCGCCTCACCATCTCCTTGCGGTGGTGCTTGAGCACGGTGAGGTCGGCCAGCGAGCATTTACGGCTCAGGGGGTTCTTGCCGTTCTTCTTCTCCGGGTGACGCTTGGCTTTGTAGAGCTCGACCAGAGCGGCGCAGAGGGAGGTGATCAG